GTCTGTTTGCCCTTGGTGCCCCCAGCAATGTTGGCATCATGTTGCCAATGTTTTGCCTGCGGCTTTTCCAGGAATTCTGGGCGTTGTAGCCCCAATGTTGCCACAGGGCACCTGCTCGGGGAATATGTGCACCCCACTCTTTCTCACCAGGGAGGTCGGGAAGCGGAGCACCATCAAGATGCCCTGCGGTGCCAAAATGAAGCCCGTGCAGAGGGCATTCCCCTTCGCTTTGCTTTTCCTGCCCCCCACTCCCCTTTCGGTAGGCAGACCCAGCCTGTGGGCATCGCCAGAGTTTAGGGCAGATGCCACCCTGGTGCATTCTTGCAGCAGAAACCGCCCCTCTTTTTGCCCCCAGCTTCCCCTTGCCAGCGACGGGGGCTCATAATTAAATGCCAATCTAAGGCAGACGAGAAGGAAAGCGAAGCTGTGATCCTGGTTCTGGGAAGCTGGGGGAAGGGTTTTCTCCCTTGTGGGACCCCCCCGTCCTTATATCATAGCACGCTGGCATGAAAAGGACCCCGGAGATCATCTAGACCAGCCCCCAGCCCAGGGCAGGAATCCAGAGGAAGGGCCAGAATCTTAGAACGGGCGAGAGGGGGGCGATATCGGGTCGGGGCAAGGACTCAAATCAAAGGCTGGAACGACAGAACGGAAGGCTTAGCAGGGGTCTGGGAGGTCATCTAGCCTCGCCTCCTCCAGGGCAGCGATCCCAGTCAAAGCGTCGGATCCTCCAGTGTCAGAGGGGGCAGAGATCGTGGCACTCCTCCCCCCGACCCCATGCCCAAGGAGGGAGCCCAAATTGAAGGACAGAATGCCAAGGTTGGAAGGGAGCGTGAAGGTCATCTAGTCCAGCCCCTGCCAGTCGCCCTAAAGCCAACACCCCATGTCCCTTCCCTCGGGGGCCCCACACTCCCAGCTCGGCTCCGGCTGTTTATTTCTTTGAAAAGCTGCTTTGAGTGAGAAGCCGAAGTCTGGTCCTCTGCAAAGCAAGACCCCTGCCGTTTGGGAGTGCGCCCCCCACCCCTGCCCCCAGCTGCACATCCCTCCCCTGAAAATTAGCCCAGGAGGGGCTGAAAACCATTTCCGTGGGTCCTCGCAGGCGGGAGGTTCTGGGTTCGAGGGAGGCCTGGGCGTCTAGCGGAAGCCCCACGGCATCCCGCTGCTTGGGGGCAGCCTTGACGCTTTCTCTCCGTCCCCGGTAGAGCGTGGAGCATCGGGTGCTGTCCCGGGACCCCTCTGCCGACGTGGAGCTCAGACAGCCGGACTCAGGCCTGTCCTCGCCCCACACCACCGTCTCTGCCCCCCAGACCCACTTCGACATTGGCTCCCCCAGCAGCATCTTCTCCAACTACGATTCTTGCCACTCGAGCCAGTCCAGTACCGGGGAGAAGAGGAACCACGCGGGGCCACGTAAGCATCCCCCGGGGCCCCATCGAGGTGTAGCCCCCCGGGCGGGCCAGGTGGGAGGCATGGGCCCCCGGCCTCAGCCCTGCTAGCTTTGAATCGTGGTGCCCAGCTTAGCCGAGCGTGGGTTGGCACATCAGGCAGTTTTGGGTTGGCACCCCAACTTTGCGTGCCACCGACTAATTGCTGCCGCGATGGATGTCCCGTGCCCAGCGAACACCAATGACTTGGTTGCCGTTGGGCGTCGTGACATAAATCGCTGGGTGGTACCCTCTCCGATTTACCATGCATGCTGTAAGAAAGCTTTCTTGCGAAATTGCAAGATGCGGGAAGAGTACACCTCTTGGAATGGTTTGCATTTCACGTTTCCGACTGTCCTTCCTTCGTGCATCTGAAGGCCACGTGTCCCAAGGGGGTGCCCTCCGGTGTCCTGCTCATGTGGGCGGGGAATGAGGGGAGCTGTAGTCCAACTAGGACACCGGGTTGGGGAAAAGTTGGCACTGCGTTATAAGTCACGGCTTGCCAACCATTAGAGATTAGGCATTCATTAAACCACAACCAACAGGCCTCATTCTTTGGTGCCGTGTGTGAAACCGGCCAAGGAAAGGTTCTGCTTCTAGCTAGTTCTCTTTTCGCTGCCTGAGAATCCTCAGACTCATCATGAGCATGTGCAGAGTGTCTTTTAGGC